GGTGAAAAGATAAGCATATAAAAGTTCCTCTCACGCAATAAAAACTGAAAATCCTAAAAGCGGATTCTTCAGCCTGGCTTATCGTTTCCCTGATAACGGACGGTCATCGAAAGAGATCGGCTCGACCAGTTTTATCAGGTTTTCGCGTCGAGGCTGCACGCCTGGCTAATTGCTTATACTCGAATCGTCGACCGATATAATTGCATTGCGTCGCGACGTATTTTTTATAGTTTGTGGACGCGCGTATAAATAGTACCAGCCCGATGCCGATAACCTGACCTCTCTTTCTCTCTCTTCTGCTTGTTCACATTCCAATTTCGTGACCGTAGGAAGTACTGTTGTACGTACAATAGAACTCCATTTATACGATCAGTTTGAGGGCCAAGCAGTTAATCAGGTAGTTCACAGTTCACGTAATAGGAATTTGGTAATTCATTGTTTTCGAGTTTATACTTAGAAGTATATAGATTCAATTGCGTTACCCATCAGTATTCATTCATTTAATTTTATCTTTTTCGAATCAGTAATTTTTTACAATTATTGTTCATTCTGATGCAAATCACGTCAGTAATACTAAATTTAATTAAAGTTCCACCGATCAACACATCCTATTACTCAGTCTCATTCGCCTAGAAACAATTAATCATATGACATCGCAATTCGAATCGTGGAGATTCTCTCGTTGACTCGGTCGACTGGTTCCGGTTCTCAGAGCTGCCAATGAACGGTGTCCACGTTATTAACACAATTAGAATAATCGATCGTCTGGCGGAATACGACCGACATCGTCGTGTAATGCCATTATTACGATGACAAGGCGGCAATGATGTAAGGTGATGTGCGGCAATCTAGCCAAGTGAGCGATTGGGAGAAATAGAGACAGAGATAATGGGGATAGCAGGTTTCCCAGCAGCACGAAATCAGTTCGTCTATGCAACGGGTCTGACATACCGACGACGGAGCGTCGTCGGAGGCCGCGATTATACGGTGACGATTCGCTCGCAATCAGTCGGAACTAAACACCTGAGAAATCCAACGGATCTGATTTAGAAGGAAAATGAGACGAAAATCCGTAATATTGTTCCACCGACCTGTTAACATCTACGGACCAGGAAAGCGTTGACACATTTTGATGAATCGCATAATTCGAGGTGTCCGCCTACCAACGGAGATATCATGTACGGTTTATCCGACTCTTGTCGGATATTTCGCGATGAGGCGAGGATTCGGTTCGGTTAGGGGAATGAAGAGATATTTTTAACGAGAATTTGCGCTAAATTTATACTCATGTGTATAAAGGAGGAACAATGAGTTTATGTGACTTCCTACGTCAAGCTGTAATAAAAGCATACGATGAATCCTCCTATTCTATACGTCGTAATTTTGATATGATGCCAGTGATACATGCAATAAAATTTCTCACGTGTTTTAAAGTACACGTAAAAGTGGACAGTTTAATTCTAAGGAAGTATCTTCTCTAAGAAAGTTCACATTTTTCTAGATTTCAAGATTTCCTGTAAAGCAAAACAAACGATAGCTCGTATAAACCTAATATAATAGGTCAGTTAATCGTCTCAACATCTAGAAAACTGAGAAGTATGTAGTAAAAAGATCGTAAAACCCTCCCCCTAAGCATCTGAAAATTTCTCCGACCCAGACTCGCTTTAATTAGATATTTAACGCGACGTACACCCAGTAAACCTCTTTGTTCAGAAGTATATATACCTCCTATCGTAAATCCACTCGGTATTTGCTATCTGCGAAACGGAGCATCGCATTTCTTTGGTCTGACGATCCCGGCACGTGACCATTTCCAAGTCTACGGAGTCCATGCTTCTAACAAAGTACACAATGTGTCCGGTGATAACGGCGAACAGTTATACTCGTACAGGCCTATTAATACGAATACGAATCTTGTTTTTATCGTCGCGCGTCGGTGGCAACGACGACGATGCAACGCTTCCTCTTCGAGTTATTCGCACATAAACATGAGCTTGTTATTCCGGGAATATTTTCAGTCAGATAGAAACAACACGTCATTCTCGTTGCATTCCAGATTTTGTGTTCTTGCATCGACGACTTCCGTTCTGCTTTCTCGTTTGTTAAAATTGCTTGAACAGCTTAAGCAGATGGCACGGATGCACAGTTTCCGAGTGCTCTTTGGGCCAAACATGACAGTATATGTGTTTGTCTTTACAAAAAGTACAACTTCTTATGAGAGCATTTTTACTATAACAATGTTTAAGTGATATTTCAATAAATCAAACTTGAATCAAACCTCGCTTAAATTATACACAGGTACAAAGTAACTGTGCCTTTACCTTTAATGCAATTAGATTAACACGTTCAATTGAAATAAGGTAAATAATATTTATAACAATACTTCGATGGTCTGAGAAAAGGAAGAACCTTTTCTCGAACAAAACAATTTCGAAGTCGATCGGATTTCACACGGAAGATCACGCTCTATCGTCGCTGATTTCGTCTAGCTTTGATCTTTGACTCGTTCGCGCTCTTAGATAATGCTTCGCATAGTCGATCAGCAGATACGTAGACGGAGTCGAGAAAGACCTGATAAATTCGTTTTACCTGACAGCTTTCTAGCTATCTATGATTAAAATTCTTCTTGTGTCGCACATAAATATGTAGAACCTTATTAGTATATATGTTACATTTAACAATAATAATAATGAATATATTGCACCTGTTATCAGACTTTTTAATAGGCAATAAACATTATATTGCAAATTGAAGAATGTCTTAAGAGAGTTTACATAGAAGCTTCCATGTAGCAAGGTTTAAACACATTCGCCACTTCACGTTCCTCCCTCTGTATTCAAAGAGGAAGCGACAGAAGGCTGTTTGGCGGGTTTTATCGAGATATGAGCACTGGTTGTCGCAATCGGATATGTAGATTGTTCCGCTCAGTTGGTTGGTAAACAGAATCATTATGTCATCTACAACTGGTCAGCGTGATAACGACACTGTTAGCGTGTCCCTCAGTCACGTGTCGTGTCCTGTCTAGTCCTTTCTTGGCTCACGTGTAAATTATTTTCACGCCTGTTAATCTCGGTCACCAGGTTTTCATGCGAATAAACCAGTCTTCCTTACAGCTTTGAATTTGTTTTCCTACGTGTTCGGAATATGTAAAATTAAATAACATATTGGATAACTGGAGAGTCAACTATACCTGGAGGATGGTCTGAAATTCATAGTAGAAACGGCGATTTATGATACGAAATAAAAAGAAAATAAAGAACAACGAAATTGCGTGGGAGGTTTAAATTTGAGTATGCATGCACTTAACTAATAACTGACAATTTCGGGAAAGTTAATTATGTTTTATTTAGTAATTTCATTTCTTGCCATCATATTGAAACGGGAAAGATTAATGGTTATTTGTGGCGAACTTTGGTATTGCCGATAATGCGCGGGGTACAAGAAATTATACAGAACAAAAGGTACTCAACGCGTTTCTTCTCAATATTCGGTATATGAACTGAAATCCAGGTAGTAATGCGGTAATAAATTACATGCGAACATAAATTCAGTTATTTGTTGTTGTTGATTGTTATAACTTCTCTGGTGGTTTGCTATGCGGTCGCCGGTAATTATGAGTGGCCACGAGATAGGTATAAATTATGCTACTTCGGTAATTAATGGCATATTCATTAAAGATAGCTGCAATGCTTTATCCGGAATACATTTTACTCACATCAATTTCTATCTATGGGGCTTTCATTAAAACTTTTGAAGAACGATTCGATTCTTATAGTACTTGAATTTTGAAGTAAAGAACTATAATACATTATCTCATATTCCTGTCGTTTTTATACAAAGTTCATGTAGAACAAGTTTTTCTTAATGCAATTAAGCTTGAACTCTTTAGTATCTGTATACGTCGTATACATGATAAAAATAGACTTATTATGAAGATTATATTGAATTTAGTAATTGTATTTTAATGTAATTTATCTTGTTAAATAGTTTCCCCATTTGCTTTTTCTATTCAATAGTCCATTTATCCTCAAAAGTACTGAGTACAGGCGTACGTACATATCTTAATGATAAACTTTATTGTGTTGACTGTCAAGGAGTTGAATAACAAATTACTTTCAAATTCATAATGATCAGACCCGAGAACTTCTGTTCTATGTATACTTATTTGAATGCTTGAATGCGATAGAGACAAAGTAATAAATAACTAAACGATAGTTCCGCCATTCAGGTAGGCTTGTTCATCCACACAACGCGACGTTAGCAACCGATTAAATTTAATTTGTTTAATGTTTCAAGGGAGTCAATGTGCAACATTGTTGGCCGATTGTTACGGCTTGCTTCCCACCCATTTTCCTACAGTCTGTCCGCGCTGTATCACTTTGGCCGCGATAACAGGCGAATTATCACTGTTAACCAGTTATTAGCGATTTGGTGTCGCGTCGTTGCATATCGTCTAGCCCCTATTTATTCAAACACCCCGCTCGCTGTACTGCCGTCTCTCTCTCTTTCTCTCACTCTGCCTGTTTAATTGCCGGAATTAATAAAGTATCGAGGCCGTACCGCCCCTATGAATTACATAATAAATAATTGAGTGGCTCGCGCGGGAAATTAATCGACGATGATCGCCCATTTATTTCTCATTTCCAATCATATTTTCCTACCACTTCAAATATATTCGCTATAAATGCGATAAAAATAACAATGGACAAACAGAATAGTATCATTTGTATCAGCAGAATTATTAGATAAAATGTTTTATCACGAACGTTTATTATGTCTGGCTTCACGTAATATAATTCTTTCTTTGTATGTTTTATGTCGGGATAAATAAAAAGTGTCCTCCTCTTAACAGTGGATATTAGAGAAGTTCTGGGTATTAAAGTTAAAAAAGTCTAAAAGTTATAAAAATTTTAAAGAAGTCACGAACGAATTTTAAAATCAGGTCGCATACGATGGAAGCAATATCGTAACGTTATTAAGAATGATCACTGACGTTGCAGAACTTTTCGCAGACGCAAGAAGACTTAGGCGGACAATAGGAACAATGAGGAACAATTTCGTGGCGGCCTTTCTGCCTCTCGTCCTGACATTCTCGACGAGTCAATCTTTTTGGGTTCACGGAAGCAGCAAGGATTCGTTGAAGAGAAACAGTTTACCCGACACTTTCACCGGTTCGCATCCTCGATCGACATCCACGTCAAACTACGAATGCCTCTACGTAGATCCTAGTCTACCGTCTTGCGATTACAAACTGTGAGTCAAGTTGATATCTAATGGAAATACTTCTATGGTCACATTGAAAGAAATATTTGTGATCATTAAAGTATTAATGACATATGGCACTCTTCAAATTGCTTTCTAATTTTCGACCTATTTTAGGATGTTAAATTCGGAGGAGACGACGAGTAATACAAACTTATTTAAGAGAAACGTTAATAGAAGCATCGACGTTGGAAACGTGGATGTCATAGTTTATACCATCGAGGGTTGTTTACCTTCTAGGTAATTAGCTATTTGTACAAAGAGAATTAATTAAAAGAAAGTTCTACAATCTTTTCTGTATTAAATGTATTGAAATTATAAAATAACAGTTTTCTGTATAATTTTGCCTGAATTCCCATTCCCTAATTAAACAATATCGTTATTTGTCAATACAGTTTTGACGTAATTATTATATCACAATTGAATTATTTAACAGATTACCATTTACGATGCCTTCTTGCGATGGTATTTCCCTGGACAGGATCGTGGATGTGCGGCGGCTTCGTTCGTTCTCCGTGAAAGGGGTGACAAAGCCACCGTTCGTGTTCCCTAAATTCAATTACTCCCGATGGCTGCGCATGGTGAAACAGTTGCAAAATCATGCTTCGACCAAAACTAGACATGTAAGTAATCTTGTCTATTGTACCACGTCGTTTGTACCATTCACATGTAATAGATTGATGCAAACGAAATATATTTTCTAACATTATCTTACATCTATTTTCTAAACATATTTAATTTTTCAAGACGATATTGTTCAATGTATTTCATCCTTTAACATAATCCCTTATTATATCATGTAACATTCTTGTTATCAATTGTGTTGAATATGATAGAAAAATAGATCCAATTCTAAGAAGACTTTAATTCTCAATTCGTCAGTTACAATACTTATTAATAATTATTTAACTAAGAGAATTGACTTGTTACTCAATTAAAAAAATATGTGATTGTATTAACAGCAGATCGGAAGGACCGATGAAAGTTCCTTAAGGCAATCAGTTCAGGATTTGACGGAGGAACTAATGAACGCAGCCACGACAAAGGAGACGATGCCAAACGCGATTGCGGCTAGTATGAAAACTTCGAACGGGTCGTCACCGAACAAACTCATTCCTGGCGATACCAGATCTTCGGCGTCGACCGATCAGCTTACGAGGTCACCGGAGAACGCGTGTAATGATGGAAATGGTGTGACACCGGAGTCTTCGTCAAACACAGAAATACCTCCGGTTCTGCAACGTCACAACGAATTAAATTCGGACTCGCGGTCGAATAGTGATCATTTAAAATCTAGTAGTGATGGAAGTAAAATGAACGCGCCTTCGTTGAACCCGGATATCTCGGAGATTCCAGCGGTTCAAAAGAGTCGACTTCTGAACGAACAGTCTGTAATGAAAGAAGCTCCCAACGTGCTTTCAAATTATGCCAATTCAAAGAAATCACTTCAGTTTCCAGCCAGTCTGCAAGTGGATGAAACGGACAATGGACTCGTTGACGATTTGCCACTTACGGAGATAGCCCCGGCGGCTCTCAGAAGAAGAAGAGAAATAAGGTTGCACGTTTCTGGACAGGAAATCGGCAACGAGCCGAAAGTACGCACGGTTACTGGCGAACCAATTTCGCGGTTCCACCGGAACAGAGAGACTTCGAGTTTTAATTCAAAGCAGTTCTCAGATTACGTGAAGTCTAGAAAGCAATTTAACGTTCGTGTAGGCGAAGAAGAAATGATGAATAAAAATATGCCCATGGTTAGAACACCGCTTTTCAAAACGAAATCTGATTCTAAATCTCTGAATAAAGTAAAGTATGGCGGATGGTTTGGTTCGAAACCGACGTGGCAAAAAATGAGAAAGTATCGTCGATAGGAAGACCCGTGTCGTTTTTTATTCAGAAGAGCGAGGCACCAAGTAGGAAAATTGGATGCAGAAATGAAAAAAAATTAAGACAATTCCAACAATTCCAGTAAATTAATCGACTACTCCATTAGACAATTGACAAAACGTATGTAATTTATAGGAGAAGTTCAGAGAAATTGTAAATCACCGTTTCCACGTAAGCCCCAGTGAGACGGAAAGTAATAAACGCACAGGTCCGGGAAAAGATCTTGTGGAGGAAACGTCCTCGATTCCTGTTTGAAAATTTGGAACGAAATTTGTCAGCGAGGACAAGCTGACAGATTGAAAAGTGGTAGGGTTAAAACCAGTCGTCCGAGTCACGGATACCGATGTTCGCATTTTCTTTTTTCCTATTTTCGCCCCTTCATTCTCCGTTCTCCAATCCCGTCAGGTCACGGAAAAACGTCTCGGCTCGATTCTTGTTCCCGATAAATCGTTTCAGTTTTCCCCCAACGAAAAGAACGAGAATATACAGATATTTCTCTGTCTAGCATTTCACGTCGGGATTTCGAATGGCAATTATTGGTTATTTTGGAGGGAAACTTCACATTAACATTACTTATTTTTTAATTTCTCGAAATTAGTCTATTATGAGAAGAAAATAATATAATATATGTTACAAAGATCGGCAGAACTAATTTTTACACTTAGCTGATGCCTCTTCTCTTTTTCTTTTTATTGATCTCAACAGACGATGATATTTATGTAAAATCGTGGATTTTGAGATTCTCATGCCACGATTTCACATTATCATTAGTAATAATAATGTGATACATAAGTTAAGATATTAAGCGATAACTCGTAGTAGATTTGCAGTTGTCCAACTAGGAGTATAATGTGTTTAATTATTATTAACTTAACGATCCCTGAAATGTACGAAAATTTTAGTTATGTAAATTATACAAGATTTTAAATAAAGTCTGTTACAATGCAATAAATTACATTCAATTTTGTTTATTCAGTCATATTTACCATATTTTTACAAGTACATGTCATAATTCTCAATATTATATATTTTTTGTGACTTCTCATAATTTCCCATATATATTTATGATTTGATCTCATTTTGAATCACATTCAGTAATTCCGGTTTTTCAGAAATTTTTTAGGAAGACTCTTGGACTTTCGCCGTATGCTGCGCCTTCTCAACGGTATTCGATATCGCAAACGTATTCGATTCATCCCTCTCGAGTTTGATCGTCTTGATATCAGTCGTCGGTGCCTCGACTGGTTCTTCATCAATGAATTCACCTCCACTGCTTTGAGAATTATTTTCAACAGTTCCTTTATATGTAACAAACTCAGATGTCACATTCATAATAGCTTCTGGTTTAACTTCCAGAGGAGCTGTGGATACCATTTCGATGAAAAATTCAGACTTGTTCTCAGAAAATTCTGGTTTTACATCCACAGCAACGGTTTTTACATTAACAGTAACTTCTGTCTTGTCATTCGGAGAAACTTGTGGCTTCGCGTCTGTGAAAACTTCTGAGGCAGCAGATTCTGGCTTCACGTCCTGAGGAAATTCTGGTTTTGCTCTGGTAACGATCTCTGGTTTCACATACCCAGGAACATGCGGCTTCGCGTCTCCAGAAATCTCTGGTTGTGCATCCGAGGGAAAGTCTGGTTCCCCTGCATCGGTTTCTGGCTTCACAGTCTCCGCAGAAGATCCAGTCACCGGATCTGTGGCAACTTCCGGGTTGACTTGTGTAACAAACTCTGGTTTCGCTGTGGTAGATTTGATCATATGATGAAAGATATTTATCGGACGTAAGAAATTACTAAAAAATCCGTTGCTCGAAGAATTATTTGGTTTTTCTCGTTGGAAGAATGTTTGAACACTTTGCACTATCGTCGAATTCTCCGCTTTATTGAGGAGTCCATGAATCGTGTCAAAGAATACATTCCTATTCTGTATTTCCGAATTAGTTTGATTAGAAGTATCGCTTATTGTTCCATTCGTTGCTATCTCGGAATCGTCCGATGATTCTGTGTCTGATTCTCGCTGCAGAGGCTGATCAGCAGCCTGGTGTGACTGTTTATCAACGAAAGAAGATTTGGAGGACAGAAACTTGCTCAGCACTACATGATTCCGAATAATATCCGATAAACTAGGTTTATTCTCATTGGTGATTTCAACTTGTTGCAACTGAGGTGTCTGCGTGGAACCGACACCGTTCAACGTGAAACTCGTAGAAGTTTGATGATAATCAGGATTCGTGATGACGATTTCTGGTTTGTTTTCAACATGTTGTCCAAACGATTCCACGGCGGGCTTCTTCAGTGATGGATTTTTGGTAACTTGGAAAGTGTTTGGAGGTTTTTGGTCGAATACGACCTCTTCCACGGTGATAGTTAGAGTAGGTCTCACACTGTAAACTGGTTTAGATGGCTGAATGTTATCGCGATGATTTTGGCACAATGGAATGCCAATGTCCGGTAGACAATTGTGCGCCACCAGAGTGGCAGTAACCGGAGAATTCAAGACCTTGGTAACGTAAATTTGCTGAGGCTTGGTTTCCTTTCTCGACGGCGGAACCAGGTACCTCCCTTCCTGCTTCTCTCGATCCTCGGTCAATACCGGTGTTCTTTCACTGAATTCGAACTTCTCTGCAAAGGATTCTTCAAAGCCTCGCGAAGATTGCAGGTTTTCCAAAGGTAACGAAGCAGCGATTTCCGGTGATACACTCGACTTCGACTCGTTGTCAGTCAATACTGAGGACTCGCTCCTCTCCCCGTTGTACATTTTGTCGTCGAAGTACTCGTACTCCTTTTGCAATCTCTTCAAATCCTGAAGACACGACGACACACCGTACGCTGGTTGTAGACAGACGGATTGGCGCCATCGAATCACTTCGATCATTTGCGGCTCGTCGGTTGTCTCCGGCGGGTAATGCCAGAAAATTTTATGAAAATCCAAAGCGATCGCGTTACAAATTAACGCGAGGAATGTTACGAAAGCCGTGAGCTTCATGACGGAGCTCTTTCTTCGACGATTTAGAAGAGTTCTCCTGTTCTTCGCTTTTAAACGACGCACGGTCACAAGACGTTCGGGGGTAAATGTGTTATAGACGCGACGGTCGATGCTAAACTAGTGAGTTTTCGAAGAGGGCCAGGCCATTTATAAACTAGCCACCACCTTTCTGGAAAACGGGCAGCGAGGGGTTCCATTTTCTCGAGTAACAACCGGAAGACCTTTTCGAGCTGTGATAGGTCGGGTGTACGACGATGTTTCGGGCGATTAGCAGTCACGGTGAACATACTTGAGCCGAAACCGATTCCGCTGCACTTAAGAGGGGCCACTAACGTCGCGTTAATTGCTCTTAAGGGAGGGCGGTCGTGTCTGTGTGTCCGACGTTTCCAAAGTGGACGAGTTAATTGCACGGCTGGAGCGAACGCGCGGCTAATGTGAAGCTGCATTTCTGGGATGCTTCTTTCACGATGCAACTCACTATGCACGTTTGATTGTATGCACGTACGCGCTTGTGTATATTTAATAGGCAATTGTGTACAGGTTCGGAATAGTACGTGGCGAGGATAGTTTAATCAATTAGCTCGATGTAATTAGGGTTGCGATTGCAAATGTCTGTTATATCTTAATTAGTTCGCTCCGTTCGAATTATTTTAATTTCTCTGGAGTATTGAAGTACCTGGAGACATGCAACTCTGCGCACAGCGAAGATACGATATCATATACATTCGGGGCATGCGACGATTACTTTAATATTATACTGATACAACGTGTCATTATACATACAATAACGAGTTAAAAATGAAAATAAATCGTTCCTAACAACATACATTTACATGTAATGCTAGTTCGTGTAATTGTAAGTACTATTTACGGAGCTTACCTGTCAAGTGCTTTTCCTAATCTCTGCTTGAGGAGGTGTTTAAATTCTCCCTACGCAGCCATCAATAACATGTCGTGAGTGAATCAAACCCCGAGAGTCCCGGAGGATATAAAACCAAATCAACCACACGAAGAATGGAACGGCAGCAACAGTCAACGAAAGGGGAGAAAGAAGGAAGGGAACTCGGACACACCTGAGCCGGATTCCTGCTAGGCATTAAACTCGGCCTCTTTCATGGGGTCCATGCACGGAAGGGAACGCTGAAGTGCTGAAGAGAGGGAAGAGGCCCACGGAGACGAAGAAGAAACGAGGAGGTAGATGAACAGTCATTTAAAGTCTTGTTCCCACTATACAGCAACACCAGTGAAATATTTCACCGATAGAAAATGCCGAGAGACCTGTTCCCGACTTTTTAACGACTTTTAGATATTGCGTGTCAGACAATTTTGTCAATAAATCTTTATAAATAGACTTTTATATACGTCGTTTTCAATGAATTTCGACAAGGTATTAAAATGAAAACAAGGAAAATAATATTAAAAGCGATCGATTTTAATTGCCAGCAATTGTTAGTACCTTTGTTTCATTCCCTGACCTGTTCGCCAAGTAGGATCTCACCTTTAGGCTTAGACAATGACGGTATGGCGCGGAGGCTGTGGTTACAAAGCCTCAAGCCGGGTCCACAGCCTCGCGGCGCGGTTCGCATACCACCTGACCGTGCACGATACACAGAAACCTGTCCGGCATGCACCGGGTCCCCGTACTCACGGTGCCGTACGTCTGACCAACTGGTACCAGTATCAGTACGGTACCAGTTGTCCTGCAGCTTGGCAGCTGCGCGCGCGTGCTTCACGTTCAAGGATCGCGATCGCTACTCGCCGATCCCGTGACTTCGCTAATTTTCCGGTGCTCTCTTTGGTATATTACTTGCGTCAATCCGGTTCTCAGTGTTCGCTTACTGTTACTATCTGATACGGTGTTCTCTTTACCAGTATTACCTGTTGCGTTGTTACAAAAAGTGCCATTTTAGAGATACCGACGTTCGTTCCTTCGGAGGATTAAAAACAGGTATGTGGTCAGGACGCAACGTGGAAACGTGTTGGACTTGGGAAAATATTTCTGGGTGTACAACTTTTATTGAGGTCTCTTCAGTTTAGTATTTATCGTGTTTTAAATTAGGAACCGAAGAATGTCATTTCGGAGGTACAAAGAGATTTAGGAATTCTTGATAGGATTGGGAAGATGCGCTTGGGTTAGAAGGGTTTTCTTTATGACATTACTTGTTTGGTATGTTACCTATCGCTATAATTGGAAACTTAGGTAGACGACACGAAGGGATTTTCAAGATCCCTGATAGGGTGGCTAAGATGTGTCGGGTTTCAGAAGATTTTCACATTGCATTATAATTGGGGCCTGAAGTCCCATTTTGAAGATAATGCATTTAAATATTTCTAGCGAAGCTGAGAAATTTTTAAAGGATTTTCTAGTAACACACGACTATGAATAATATATTACCTATTAAATTTTTATAGTTGGAGCGTCAAAGTCGTTTCGAGGATCCCTAGTTTTGAAATGCCTACCGCAAGGGGTACCATGCCATGCGGAACAAATAATATAGTATAGATATGTTGCGTTGAGTTTGAGAAGTGCTCGTAAGGTTGATCTTATTTCTGAATTCCGGAGGGATCAGAGGACGAGTCTTGGTGTCGGGTTCGACTGACATTTTATCTCCAGTCTCGGAACTTGAATTGACGACGGTAGGCTGCCAGGCATGGTTCGCATGCTTTGCGCGGTTTCCAGGATTTTATAGACTGAATTCCTTTTAACCAACCATTGGTTTTTGTTTAAATGTTATAAATTTCCTTAAACACCTCATATAGACTATTACTGGTCTCTCCTTAGCGCTATCTGAGATCTTTAATCAAATCCTTAAGTACGACATTATTTATTATTCCTTAAAATGTTGACAAAATATTGTACGAAATCTTGTTTTATCGATGCACATAAATGTTGATTTTATTTTGTCTCCTAACATATTTTAACGCTCAATAAGAATCGTTGCCAAGCCGCAAACAATTTA